TTTCCATTATTAGGCGATATAACCCCTTTCATATTCATTTTCTCCTATGAATTTTACTTTAGAAATAATGTATTATGTATATACAGGTTTAATAAGAATTTGGTGCCTTGTACTCTGTCATGCTCTCACCTCGTTGACCTGCTGCTTGTCCAGGTGAAAGATCTGTCCAGAGGAGGTGGCAGCGATCTCCTCATAAGCCCTGTAGCCGGGCTGAGAGCGGTCCCCACAGTCCCCGGTCAACACAAATACCACCTGGGAAACGAAGGGGGCAGGCAAGTTAAGAGGATTACTACTGTTCAGTGTTTGCTTTCGACAGACTCGCTTTCAGTTGGCTCCAAAGTGACGCTAATGCCCATTGTCAAGCTTCAAGTAGAGGCTAAGAACGGGTGCCTTTGAAGAAACTTTCCCCTGCTCAACTGAGCATCGGGGGGACTTCATTAAAATGTAGATATGTCACAGCATGCTGTTGTATTCCTTTTGTTACAGCATGTGATAAATGTAAAGAAACTCAGAACTATGTGGGCCATGTATTTAAAGCTTTATATTTAGCCATTTTCCTGCCAACATCACCTAAACAGCATTAAACCACTGTGGGAGAGTTAAACAAGACAAATGAAATGCCTGCAGGTATGTTTTTGTGCCATTCTTATATACTGTAGCTGTGGTCAGGGAGGTAGCTGCATTATTTGTGCGATGGCATTAATATTTGACATTTGATACAGTGTGTATGTCTCCAGCTCTGATCTGTGATGTCCTCACAACACTGTACCTGTGATTGACGGAGCTGCACCAGCTGCAGAACATCTCTTTTCAGGCGGTAGTCTTTGGCTCTGGCATCAGTGAAGACGTAGATGAAGGATCCAGGCAGGGAAACCTCTAAGGCTTTCTTTATGGCTCCTATGCTCATCTCAGGGCAGTCGCCCCCACCCTAGGTGACAGAATCACACATGATCAAATACTCCTGGAGGAAATAAAGTCTAACTGAACAACTATCATAGTTCAGCTGTGTCAGGGATATGGGTTAAAAAAAACGTTATATAGATTTAAAACATAATTCTCGTTAAAGCAACCCTAAGCATACTTTTGAAAGTAGAAATAAGAGCATATGTCTTTTAGAAATGCAAAGTAGAATTGCAAAAAAAACACCTTTCCTCCGTTCAGGGGTTTTGTGGTCTGGTGTGACCTGAGGCTTATTGTGGCAAACTTTAGATACATATTACTGTGTAACTGATATTCCTGAGTCAGTCTGCTGACCTTATGTTTCTTCTCCAATTGTGCTTAAGTTACACTATGCTACCACATTAATGTACCTTGTGGCCACAGTAGCTGCTGCTGCTTAGGCCCGCTTTAAGCAACGGCAGTGCACACACCTATAGCTCAGATTCGTGTGGAACTATACAGTGTTCCCGGTCCTATAGAATAATAGAATAATGTTCTGGTTCCCACCTGGACAAACAGCTCTTGCAGATCCTGCTGGAACTTCTTTGGGTCGGTGGTGATGGACACAGGGCCGATATCTGCAAGGTTGGAGATGTATATCATCAAAGACCCCAAATGGAGTGAACAAAATCAGGTCAGCTTAATAAGAGATGTTCTGGTTGCTATACAAGAGCATATGCGTTTTAATGCATAACAATATTCATCCCAACCGAATAAGGGCTTAAGTGTAACATGTCTGGATTTTTCTTTGAACTCAGCAAAACAACTATATCGGAACAAAGGATTTAGTTGTTCCCTCTCAGCAGTTCAACGTCTGTAAACAGAGAAAAAGCATCTGCAGCATCAAAATTCCTACTAAGCCACAGAGCCTAATTTATCAGGACCAGAGTGATGCCCTGTAGCTTTTGTGCAAGACATGAATATCAATCACAATCACACCACACAGCACAAGAGATTGGTGCGCTGAAAAAAATACAATGTTCAGGTTTTCTTTTACACAAATCGCTACAATCTGGCCGAAGTTCAAATGACTTCACAATAATCCTTTTCTGCAGCTGTGGTCAGCATTTTGTACCAGGCGACTTCTCCAGGAGCAGACCCCAGAATGATGGATAAGAGCCTGTCAGGGCCTGACACTTACTTGGACGCCTTCTGGGGCCAATCGATGGAACGGTAAACATGAACCAATACACAGGGAATGCATTGTTTTAGGTATAGAACTCTGTTGTCCATAAACACAAGCCTATCATTATAATTACTACAGAAGAGATCCTAATCAGGTAGGGTGGAGCTTCATGATGTCTGTGTGTCTGTGCTTGTTATTGCGACGGTCAAATACCATTCTGAAGTATCATGGTGAGACTAATGATACAGGGCTTGTAGACGTGTGTCAAGCTGATGACATTTGTAACTCATTCTAAAATCTATTTTCCAACAGTCGAGGCTTTCAAGTCCTCGTCTGCCCCTCATGAGTGACTGTAAAACACTGACAGCCCTGTCACGCCTCTTTGTCAGCCACCGCCGGCTTCTTTGCAATCTTGGAGGTTTACAAGGTCCCCAAGGGCAGGGCACATTAAACACAGACAAAATGTGTGGTGTTAGTGCAGCCCACCATCCCCCCCGCCCTCCACTGGCTAAACTGGGGGCTATGAGGGTTTTCCGGAGGCTTGGATGCAGGAGAGGGTGGGGTGAGTGGGGGGGGGGTGATTGGGGTAATTACACACAAGCAGACAGCATATGCTTCTCATCAGCGCTCAAACACCCTCCCCCATTACAGCACTCTTATTTTCAAGCTGCAGCTTTCCCATATAGGGGGACATGCCGGGGGGGGGGACCCTTACCTGTCTGCCCCACAAACTCCTTACTCTAAAAGCTTACATATTCCTGCTTGATGTCTTGGATCAGTTTGAGTTCAATGTGCTGCTCCATGTGCTACAGGTTCTGAGATGGGCTGCAGTTTGCTGTTTCTGTGACCCTTTCAAGTAAAACTACATTTACTAAACTGTAAACAACAGCAAACTTATCAAATCAGGGGGAATGCAACCTACAGTGATCTTGAACATGTAAAAAAGGAAGGCTATAAGCTGCTGTGTTGTTTGGACATGGGTGGACAATCTCATAATTCTGGCAGATTTGTCAAATGCTGCAATAAATCTTAATTATGTGCATTCATTAAAACATATGAAGAGTTAAATACTACTATGGTCACAAAAAGGTGCCTATTGTGTAGCTGTTAATTAAGTGTGTTTGGTCAAAAAGTACCTGGGTCATGGAAGGGGACCAAGACAAAGTTTTTGATGGGTCTTGTCCTCCGGTTGAGGGTCTTCTCCAGGATCCGTGAGGCGCCCTCTATCACCTGTTTCAGATCGTCGTACATGGAGCCGGTAACATCGAACACAAAGGCCAGGGTCGAGGCACTGTCACCGGATCCATCATCCTCCTCAGCCCGGGGGACTGCCAAGAGCCTGTGCGCGCTGATACAGAGCGCCAAGACTAGGCACTTTAATAAAACGCCGGTCATTTTTTATTTTTTTTTTAGATTTACTGCATCTGTCTGCTGGAATGAGGCGAATCACATAAACAAAAAGTAAAAGAAGTTACTGAAAGTTTAAAAAAAAAAAAAAAAAAAGTTTAGATTTCAAAGCAGTGCAAAGTCTGGGACTGCTTCCAATCGGGAGAAAAGATATTTGGAACAACACGGCTCAGCTGAAACACATCAAAAATCCGGAGTAAAATACTTCCACAGGAGTACATCCGTGCGTAAAGTTTGGAGGAGCGTGCGGACTGGCTCTGTGTTGGAGAGCCCCTGGAGAGCTGGTGCTCTGACGCTTCAAACGGGGGCGGAGATGGGTATTAAAAGGTTCCCGAGACCCAACCTGATTTGTGTGTGTGTGTGTGTGTGTGTGTGTGTGTGTGGAGAGAGAGAGAGAGAGAGAGAGAGAGAGAGAGAGAGAGAGTGCCTCGACCCCACTGTGGCTTTCAGCCGTTTAACCCTATCCAACAATCCCCCCCCTTCACTTCACGATTTTTCTCCGCAATCGAGGTGGGCCCCTGGAGACGCGGGGTTTAGCAGCTTTTACGCACATTACCAGCGGGGTCTGGAGTCCGTATTTTAGACATGTCGAGAACATTGTCTCAGTAACAGCCTAGTTTATATAAATAGCCATCGTTTATATTCAGCTGACACCAATCTAATTTTATACACAGCCCACCCTGAGAAATGGCATATGAATGGGTGGAATACCGCGACGTGCCACACAGAAATGTCACTGTCCTGTTTTACTTTGTTGCTGATCAGAAATATGTCTTAAATAAATATGATTATTAAATATTATTCTCACGCCCTTGATAGGGTATCTTGTCTGAGGAGACCTCGAGAGGAAGCCAGCCCGGATCTTATGAATGTAAATAATTCAGTGTCTTCTTCAAAAGTAAGTGGTAGGCAGCCAGAATATTCTTGTTCACTTCAAAACCAACTTGTCTTTTGCTGCACTTTGTTACAGCTGCTACACTTGAAACCCCTATAAAACACAAAGTGAATCAAATATGTACCCGGTTAAAGACATGGACCCTCCTGACCTTCTCTTCTTGATATGACTTGCATCTGTCCTTGATGAGAAGAAAACAGGAAGCAGGTCTGAACAGGCCCAGTGAGCAGACAGACCCAGCAGCTTCCACACAAAAGCCACTGAGCCACCTCATTAACCCACCCATCAATGGCAAGACTTCACACTTTTATGCAGTTCATTGTTCATTATAAAACCATCTGCAGAGGGAGTTTGCATATAAAATTCTGTGTTTAAAATGCATGACACAAGCCGATCATGACATTATTTTCTAATAGTGAAGTAGCTCAGTGTTATACTGGATAGATAAGGTTTTGAAATTTTGAATGCAATTGGCTGTGTGAAGTACTGAGCTATGAAAATTTTACATTCCATGATGCAATAAACAAAACAGCTCCTTAAACTTATCCAAGAACCTGCATATGTAAAGAAAAGCACATATTTTCCATTCATTTCAAATACATAAATAGACTTAAGAATACAGTAATAGAAAGGTTTGCCACTTAAATGCATTTTATTCTGTGCTCTTATACTGTTAATCAACAGGTAAATGACATTTATCATTTAGTAAATTATCATTTGCATAAGGCATAAAATCAGTGAAGCTGATAAAACATCTTAATGCTGTAACTAAAACAGTCCAAGAATGGAGAAAAAAAAGGCATCATCACATGCTCTGGCCTTGCACAGGACAAATACTAAGTAGACAATTGCAACCACAGAGCTCGCAAAAGCTTTACAACCAGAATTGATGTCTATTTGTGCCTCTCAATGACCAGGGCTTTGTGTGTGCTGAGGGTGGAGCACGATCCCCTCAAAAGGCATAATGAGCCTCGGTTCAGATGTAAGCTGTGAGAATTCGCTGCGTCGCTCGGTGCACGTCGTTCAGGATGTGGCTGTGCAACACTGCAGACACTAGATGCTCTTGCTAACAGGGAAGTGAAAACACAATAGGATGCACAGACTGCAAACATAGTAAAATAATCCATAGAAAACTCCCCGCTCCTTAAACACTCTTCTTCAAATAAAAACTCCGTTCTCTCAGGAAAAGGAAACTTCAGAATGTGAGAAAAAAAACAATCCCACAATAATAATGAAAAATACAGTGCAATACATTTCAACACCTTTGATAAAAAATAAAACTTCATTCCATACTTATGAGTAAAATTCCCATAAACGCAGCAAAGCAGAAAATAAATTACCATTATATTTACATTATACAATATACACTATACTGCGTTGTAATTTTAAGTTAGTGTTCACGTTAAATAGCACATTTTTCCAGATTCTCCCGGGTTAAGAGTCTCTCCATGTGCTGGTGAAGCAGCAGCACAGTTCCTCTGAGCGGCTCACGTGCATCCCCTGCTTTACAGTATGTGAACAAGACGCACACTAACATCTCGGAGGGAATTCAGTTCCTTGGACTGTCCATGGGGAAATCACAACACTGCGCTTGCAGAAATGCTCGTACACAGTCCACAACACTGAAGTGTGTACGCGGTGCCACACAGCTGTAGAAGCACGGATAAATGACTGAGGGCTTTTTGCTGACATGTTTGGAATTCTCCGTCACGTCAGAGGATACATTTGTTTACAATCCTTACTGGAAATGTAGACGAACAGCTACTTGACACAGATGCCGTACGGCCGTGCGACTAAAGTTTGCAGTCCACTTCTGGGTGAGCAAGTTAAATGTGGCCTCCCCCCGTTACAGGTGTGATGGTGCTGGATTGGCGTGTAACGGATGCTGAGTTGGATCCATCTGAGAAGTTGTGAGAATGATCAGCAGTGAACAGACGACAGTAAAGCGGTGTCCTGAAATCTGGGTGTGTTCAGAGCATGCAAGATAATCACTAAACAGAGCTACTGCATTACTAAAATATGTCTTCACAAGCTCACTTCACAGTTGACAAAACACCGAGCAGAATGTCAGCAACAATTGGCAGCGGTGAGTGAATAACATTAGGCAGTGAGAGGAGAGGCCTGTCTCGCTCTTCACTCAGCACTGCAAGACGATTTGATTGCCAGCAAACAAGTGGGCCATACTGAATAATTCATGAGAACAAACTGAGAGCAGAAAGTGGCTTCTTCACTTTGGTTTTCAGCACACGGACTGAGTTTCCTTTCTTTCATTCTTTGCTCTGATGAAATAAGAATTACACTGTATTATCTTGGAGCTGAAGCATGACCTGGGATTGAAAATCACCCAAGCAGAGAAGTATGCAGGTACTAGCTCATTAATACCCCCACTCACCTTACATTCTTACACAAGTCCATCATAGAGTGACAGTGCCTGAACGATAGAAGGGTCTGCCTTTGAGCCCTCCTGAAACTCCTGCAGAGTCAGCTTCCCATCTGCATTCTGGAGGAACAACAGGAGACAAAATGAACATGAAACCCCTTTAAGGCTTTAACATAGAGTTTCCAGCAGGGGGCAAAAGAGGCTCTTAAGCTAAATCGTGTTACTCCTGTTCTATGCTGGTGGACTGGATCTTTGGTTCAGTGCACTTGGATGGTAGCCACTCTCCACCAATACAAATCACTAAAGTGCTGCTGTGCTGCACAGCTAGTCCATTGGGCTGATCTTGGCAGTAGCGGCCTGACGAACACACCCATGCAGGCTGCGTCTCATCTTTCACTAAAGCTGAGTGGATTCTTGGGGCTGAGGGAGTGGGCATTAGCACCAAGGGCTAGTGGTGGAACGGACTATATATGATGTTTATAGACTGCAGCCGGTGTTAGTGACGCTGTGATGGCTACAGCAAACAGCTCTAAACATAACAGTGTCCATGTCAAAGCCCCGAGGGTGGCAACGAGGGCAGATTCGGTCCGTTTAATGGTAAACTAATAATCATTACTGCATTTGTATCAGGGTCAGGCAAAGTTTGAAGTTAAACTGTAGAAAGAAAGATCAAATGGTACATCATCTAGTGCATTATCATTAGCTATGTTTATATGGAGCCTAATATTCTGATTTTAATCCTTTAAACATAAAATAAATATGTTAAAAATGCTCCATATAAACACCTCAATCAGAATTAAACAGGCAGGAAATTTCAAGCAGTTACAGAGGGGTAATCATAAACCGATCAAAGGACAAACTGTGCCATGTAAACAATGTAATTACTCTCTGGCTGTGTTCTTTCAGTGCATTCAGTGCAAATGTGTGGGGAGGTACTGTTCTCTACTCCCCAAAAAATGTCTGGACCCCTGCAGAGAGCTTGTTTTTGATACAAACTCTTGAAGAACTGAACGTTATTGGGCGCCTTGACAGTAGGAAAATAAGAAATAATGGCCTATTTAAAAAAGTCCACAAAAGAATGAATGAAGACCAAAGTGCTGAACAAATTAAAATCCGCTGGAAAACTTTGAAGAACGCCTATTACAAGGCTAAATCCCAAAACAAAAGTGGATCAGACCACACCAAAGCATGGACTAATGAATGCACTTTGCACATGTCACACCCCAGCAGATCACATCCCATGTGAACATTTGACCCAAAATCTTTGATCTAAATGATTTCAATCAAAATTATAGTGTGCAGTTACTGTCTTCATCACTTCTGTCTTTCGATATCATTTCAGTATTAAAATACTAACCTTGTCCATCATTGCAAAAATACGGTCAACTCGCTTTTCTGGTGTGTTTTCTTCTTCTGGCAGCTCCACAGTGTTCCCCTAAGATATCAAATCATTACACTTTGTACCATTCAAACAATTCAGATTTATATGTCAGATTTATCTTTTAACTTACCACCATCTGATATATGGCATCTACGATGTTCAACATCTCATCTCGGGTGATGTAGCCATCATTATCAAGGTCATATAGTTTAAAAGCCCCTGTATAGGGAAAGATATTAAGACATGTGGCTTTTACTGCAGCGAGGAAGGCCATGCTGAGATCAGAAAGCCACTCTGACTTCAAAATGTAAAACAAAAGATTATATGAACTATATATTTTCATGGATTACAAAGCACACAGTGTTTCATGTGTTTGGAAGTGTTGAAAACGGAGCACAGACAGCTAGCAGCCTTTCATGGTTGCTTCCCAGTTCAAAAGTAGTCATTCTGGGTATAAATAATGACCCCGCTTGGCTTCAGATTTAAAGTTTTGAATGTTTTTCTAGGGTGTTATAGTTTCAAAAGAGGTTGTCAACATATTGGGTCATGACCCCCGGGTTGCAAAAGCCTGCTGTATCTTGCTAATAATCTCCTATTTGCTCTCTAGGAACCCGTCGGGTCCTCTTTCATATGTAACGCTCGGCAGTCAGAGCTAAATCCTGTCATTTAAATGTCAAAAAATAGGGGAGGAGGGTGCATCTTCTTACATCTCAACTTCTCATCTAGAGTCCCCCGGGAAGTCACAGACAAGGCCTGGATGAACTCAGAGAACTCGATGCGTCCATCCTACAGAGTGACAGAAGGGGGAGAGAGAGAGAGAGAGAATGTGAGAGAGGAAATCGCCCAGAGACAAGATGAGCATCTTACTTCACACTTGCTGTACTTTCATGAGCTCCTTGCAGTTCTTTCATGGTGTCCTTGCTGTATTCTGCTGAAAACGGGGCCAGACGTTTGCTCCAAGTCAGCTGCTATTTTTGCCCTGCACCTGGCTCTCTCCTGAGGCAGAAATATGTCACCTCTGGTCATTAGTAAGATGGATGCTACTGGCTCATAGTCTGAAACTTACAGCACACAAACAACCACTATATATTTGGGGCGAAGTGATTCCAGTGATTCTACATCATGAATGGGCATGTCACATAATCCTGTCCGACAAGGAAGGAAATATCCCCCTCTGACACTTATTTCCTCGCAGCTTTGTTAGAATCCCATGCACTGAATATTTACACAGAAGCACAACATTTCCAATTGCCCTCTAAAAATGTTGGCCTTCAGTGTTCTTCTGCAAGGCCACACATTGTGCAGCACAGAGAAACGTCTGCTAACACAGATAGAATAATCAAATATAAAATGAACGCTCAAAATGGCACAAACGCCGCTAATTCAGACCAACTCATCATGTTATGACCTCGAGCCTCAAGCAACTGCAGGAGACTCAAGTCAAAGTGAGCCGCTGCAAAAAAGAAATGCCATCCACATTCTAAGCGAAAACCCTGTGGACAACAACGCATATAAAATCGACTTTCTGGTAGTGAAGCTTTCAGGCTGTGGTCAGTTTATATTCTTACCAGATACTAAAGGTTTGTGTTCCATCACAAAAACATTCTGCTGCAACAGCTGCCCTACCTGTAACCTCTCTGAGTCCTGCCACAGCTGAAGAAGAAAAGCCAAGTGCTCGTCATGGCCTTGGGGTCGGCTAACTTTATCTCTACCAGACATCTGACCAGCCAGACAATGCTGAAGTCATGCATTGCTGATTACATAAGTCATAAAAACTGTTAAGATCAATGCATTCTCTAACTATGGGGTGCCTAACGCTAATGAAGGTCATAGATAAACATCAGACGGAGGGTTTGTCTGATCTTCCTGACACAAAGCCTCTTAACTGAAGTCAATAAATCTCCAGGGGCTCACCAGCATCCCAGGAGCTGTTCATCTACAGTTTGTCTTCCAAAACACAATTTGAATAATCTTGTACAGCTGCAATTAGGTGGATTACTTCAGACAAATGTAGCTCATAACAACTTGTTAAAACATGCTTTATCATAATATCCTCAAATCCTTAGAGAATGCACCCACATAACTGAGATAAGAGATTCATTAAAAAGAAAGTACATATACACCATTTGAAAAAATATATTGGCATCCACTTTTAGAAAAATATTTCTGGCACAAAACTAAGACTTACGATTCTGTGTTACTATTGATGCTATGACTCATCTGCAGTTCTCTGTTTACCCATTTTTTAAAGGAAAGAATCATCTGTGCTGGTGAAACACTTGACTTGATTTTCAGGCAGAGAATGATTTCTGAATCAAAGAATGTTTTTTTTTTTTTTAAATGAATGACCTCCAATACACGCAAAATATGGCAGGATTCTGTTTGTACCAAACTCTCTCACAAAAAAAACCAACTGGATTACTGCAGTTTTTGACAGGTTAAATTTAAGACTTTTTAAGACAATTATGAATGCAATCTAAGACCTGTTTTACAACCTTACTGGCACAAAAAAGGTGTGGACCATATGGCGGAAGATTGGTATTTGTTCCACGTTGTTTTTGTTTTATAGTTGATACAGCATGATCATATTGCCACAAACTTTACACAAGTAATGTGTAAATTCACATTCATCCAGTCAAGTTTTAACATTTTTAAGACTGTAAAGATCATATTGAAGATTTTTAATGCCTAACATTCAGATTATTGGATGTTAGACTTTTTAAGACCCCACAGACACCCTGAAAAATATAGCAATCAATACACATAAAATAATTTGCAAAGTACACTGAGTACGCTAGAAATGAAATTTCCCACATGCCCTAACACTGGACATTTTGATTTAACTAGAATTCCACTGAGTCCAAAACTGCTTTCATTCAAAAGGGGTCTAAATAACAATCCTTTTTCTGTTCACAAACCTGATAGCCTGCAGACCCCCCCCACCCCCCCAAAAAAGAAGCAGAAAGGGCCAAAGAAGCAACAAAATGAAAAAGGTTTCTATACCATACTGCCCTTTTATTCTGTGCAACCTCTGGCTGAAAGGAGGACCTTTAGATTAGCTCCATTCTCAGACACTGTCCTTATCTAACAGCAACCACGGACAAACAGCCACTGTCAAAAAATTTCTTATAACAAAGATATCTGAATATTTTTTCTGCCTCGTAACAGAACAATAAAGCACATGAATTCGATTACAAACCTTATTTTCGTCAAATACATTGAAGACAAAGGAGGCAAACTTTGTGGGATCTCCAAAAGGAAAGAACTGCTTATAAATCTTCTGAAAGCCCACAGCATCCAGCTGCCCGCTTGGACAATCTTTAATGAAGCCTTTGTACCTGAAAGATAAAGCACAGAGACAGATTATTTAAATAGTTTTAAAAAAAGGGAAAAAAATGTTTTTACATTTTTAATGTATTGAGAATACATACTGTACAAAAATGATGAAAGACCGAGGTCACCTCCTCACTTCTACAGTAGGTATCACTGATTCAGTTTGAAAAAGTGTGCTAGATCAAAAAGGTAAAGTGCAAAACTATTTGTCTCATTCACAGATAAGAAGATCGCCTTAATCCAATAGCAAGCCCAGAGTGGTTAACGCTAATCAAATTACTCCGTAGTCCTCTTTTGATAATATGCGTGGCTGATAGATAAGTCTGAGAGCTTCCTCTCGCCCCTGGAAATGACATATCTAGAGAGCGACTTAACATCTCTATTAGCCTAAAAATAGAAGCATCTCATAAGCAATTTCAAGCGCAGTCACTCAAAGGTAGGCAGTTTCCTTGTATGTCTGCATAAAGGAACACAGCAGCCTCAAAGTCTAACTAGACTGTAACAGGTCAGGGAGCAGAGGAGAGAGCGGTAGCCTTTACAAAAATAAATGCTGGATGAAAAGTTGGAGAAAGAGGAAATGGCAGGGAAATAATAACACTCTCTTGTTATAAAAAGCATTGCAAAAAGCTTTTGCTCTTGATCAACAGAAAAAATGACGCAAGTTCACACAAGGGAGCACTGCATGTTCGTCTGCGATTCGGTTAAGGCAGGGCTGTAATTACGGCCGGAGAGAGAGTGTTCTGATGAAGAATGAAAGCCAGGACAGATCTTTTGCACTCTGGCTCCTCACTCCTCTTAAACTCTTTACTTTTAATCTGCCCTGGAGATAATGAAGCAGCTCCATATAGTCAAAGAGATGGAGAGACGCTTTGAGCAGCAGCCGGGAAGAAAGTTCAGCAAGAGGAGAAGCGAGAAAAGAGCAGAACCATGTAATTCTCCTTTTTGAATTATCTGGAGATATGTGGGAAAATGAAAGCCTGGCTCACTATAATGCGGTATGTAAAATACAACCTAATTGCTATTCAAAGTGCAGAACACATAATGCATATCATAATCCAAAGGCGACCCATTTCACCTGGATTCTTTCATTTTTAATGTGAATATGGAATATCATATCAGGCAACCAGTATAAAAGGCTGAATGATATTGTAACATGTTGTATTGCAAAGTGCATGAACTGTATATATAGTATACATGTTTTAGTAGATAGTATATAAAGTGCATACAGTAGGGATTGTTTACTGCTAAAGAATGGTGTATCTATTAAGTATTTGTATTAAAGATAGATTCTTTTACAAGTGAAGCCATAGTGAACATCATTATAAAATCAGGAGCTTTATAAGGAGTGGTTGTGCTCCTCTTATTCATCATTTCAGGCTGGTCGAATATCAGCCAATTTTAGTTTATCGCAGACTAAATAAAACTGATGTATCTACTTATCACAGATATATTGTTATTTGAGTTCATGCTCGCTGGTAGGTAACAAGAAATTGCAGAGCAGAAATGTGTTTTGATTGGAGCTCGTCTTGTTGACGCAAATAATGGCTGCAAAAAGCGGAGAGAGGAAAAATGAAGACATAGGAATGAATTATCATCACACGCCACATGAATAATGTGGTCCGGGTGCCCTGATTGAGGTCGAAACAGGTCTGCATTTTAAACCATTACGGCTGATTAAATAATGGCCTTTAAAAGGGCACCAGTGATTTTACACGTGTAAGTTTAAGTTTACTTGTCATGAGGAGTACGACTCACTGTGCGAAACATGCCATCTGTGGCACTGGAGGAGCTTCCAAAGGTCTTTCTTTTAACCGAGAGCGGTATGCTGTTTGAAAGAAGTGGGCATTTAGGAGGCCGGAGACCGATAATGAAAGACGTCACGGTATACGTGTAGGATGAAAGGATGTCTGACCACTTTTTTAATCTGTTTCTTATGAGTCACTCAACTATATGAAAGTACAATTCTAAATCAGTGAAGTACTTCCCTGCCTGAAATGCCTGAAGGTTTCCAATTTCAAGAGCTTCAGAGCTCATGTGAAAATGGTAGTATGGTAATTGTTTTATTGTTGCTCTCCTGCAGCACAGTCAGACTCACAATACAGTTTTTAAAAAATGTATCAAAAGAGATTCAGAAGAACCTCGTCTTTTTTATTCCACGTCGTCCTCTTCTTTGTCAAAACCTGGTGCCTACATTACCCACAATGCAACTCGACTACCGACAGTTTGGTTGGAAATTCGGATGTGTTATGCTAGTTGCGGCTAATGTAGCCATGAGCTGCTAGCTTTTAGCCAATATAAGGATGTATGTAAAATTGGTGCAGTTCCTCTTTAATAAGTTATTGGCGATAAGCAATTTCAACCATTAAAAATGAATTTAATGTTCAAGTAAAGGGTTACCCACGTCATACACTACTGTACTTTATCCGATGGTTATTATAGTTTAATTAAGGAGAGGCTACATATTCATATAATTGACTTAAATCCAAATGTTTTTTTTTTGTTTTTTTTATTTTTGTTGATTCGTGTTGTTTTTTTTATAGTGACGAATGATAGCAATTCAATTTTCCATTTAACACGTTTCTTTATTTTTCAGCTGTAAAATCTCCCCCCAATATCTTGATCAGAACTCCTAAATAATCAAATTTAAGGGATTCTAATCCAATATACAGTTTTTTAATTTTTCAACTCTTAAAAATAAATCAGCACTGGTTGGGATCGAGTCCGATTCCTCAATATGCACTTTGATTTACCAAAGAATTCCTAACAGTGTAATGTTATTTTCCCCCTTCAGCCAGTCTATATTCACATTCATTTGCTTCATTAGGCATAAATAATACACATGTAATGCTGACCAGATTAGATAGTCACACCACCAGTGGAGTTACATAAGCAGAAGACACATATACAGTACACACTGTACCAGTGTAAACATGTTTGCCTACTGTCAGAGTCATCAGAGTCATAATCAGAATCACCTTCATTTGCCAAGAACACATCAAGTGCAAGAAATCTGACTTGTGACACTGGTGCTAAGACACATACACAGTCATACTGTACTTGAAGGAGTGCAATAATGCAACTACGCACTGTATTAGCAGGGACATAGCAGACGTGACATTGTGTATCCGACCACACTGAGGAGCCAGCATGAAGATAAAGTATTTATTACTGGCACTGGCTCCAGCTCCTTGGCATCTACCATGGTGGTTCGCTAAAGAGTTGTGCACGATGTTTCTCTTGCTCCTGCTTAGCTGGCAGGAACATTACTGCGCTATGGCATTTTGTTATTGATTTCAGGTGAGCCTCGAGCATACTAATGATGTTCCCTTAGAGGAGAATTAGAAAGGGGAACAAATTTAATGCACAACACAGGCATTTATCTAACCCTGCTAATTCTTCTGTGTCTGTGCCTGTGCTCTAATTACACGCCATCTGGCATTTCCCCTGGTAAAATTCCCTCTCATCCCTCACACTCAGCCGTGTTGATTGCTGCTGATCTTCAAGTGAGGACTCATGCAAACTTTCCTGTGAAAGACAGCAAGAGTGATGGTGAGCTAGCTAGCTGCACTGCCGGAGGGGGGTGGAGGTTTAAGGGGTGGGGGGTATTCCGCCCCAGTGCACTCAGGCAGCCCCAGAGACGGGCCAGCTCGGAGGCTCTGGACCTGCCAATGCCCACTGATATCTAATGTTGCTGCCGCTGCTGTGTGGTGGTGAATGTGCCCTGGCTCCTTTCTCTCTGTAAACCCCCGAACACGGGACATGCAGCTAGCTCTCAAGGCAGCGCTCTCTTCATGCATGCAAAATTAGGTCGTGAAATGCAAAACCAAGGCAGGAGAGCTGAAGTGTGATCATTTTATTACAGTGCTCCCTCTCCTGATATTCTTTGTCCTTCATTTTCAAAGAAACAAGAGCAGCGTGCAGCAAACAAAAGCAATGACTATTCTCCTGCCCGAATCATCTCTGTAAATAAAGATGCATTGACGCTTATCCGTGTGCCAGCGGCTGTCAAATTGTGCCTTCAGAAAAACACTCAGACATTCACACCTTAACAGTAAGGATCACTCTCTGTGCCTTATCCTGACCTGAGCCGTGCTTGTTTCATGAATATGTTTTATTTTGATATGTGTAAGTACATATTACAAGACTGTGACTACAGGCTGGGACGAGACAAAGGCGAGACCTCTGCACGATGATCAGAGGCTGGTGCGGGTCACGCTGACTAACAGGTCAGGACAGGAAGGATTACTAATCGGCTCATGTAGTCATTAAATGTCTGAAAGTGAAGCAACCCTATGCCCCCGCCATTCTTCTGTTATCAGACATCCCTTTTTGCAAGCAGAGCAAAAAGGTTGTGGAGGAATGCATCATGGAAATGTTTGTATCAGTGTTATCAGCCTTCAAAGTCATTCAGCCTCAGTAAGGCTTCAAAGTCATTCTATTTTCAGAACTCATCCGTCTTCAGGGTAGAGTGAGGGAGACGGCCTCAAATCAACTATCAAACAAATAGTAAATACACTATCCATGGACTCAAGAAACCAGATCCTGGGCAGAATATATCAAAGAAGGGTTCTGCAAGTGGGTCAAGATAAGACTCCTGTGAGCTCAGTAAAGACACAATTGCTAATATATGACCAGCCTCACATCAGGAATGGAAACATTGTCATTAAAAATGGAAGCACACACTTACCACTGCTGCACCTCTTTCTCTGTAACTGTAAGAGAAAACAAAAAGTGACATTAGCTCAGAAGAAAACTTTGGTTGTCCTACAAAAAAAAGTTGTTTGCTGTTAGATACAACAGAGGAGCCAAGTAGTAGCAGCATTAATCATCTTGGCCCAATCCTTTCAAACACGCATCTTCTGACTTTACCAAAAAAAATATGCAACAGTGTCTACATGCAGTTATTGGAAAATAGCCACGTTTGGTTGAGTGTAGCATAGTTCATTGATTCTAGCATACTATCAGAAGAGATGAATAATAATTTCTCGTGGCCAGTATAGTAGAGGACAAGTGGGAGTAAACCCAAGGGAGCCACAAAAAGACACACAAGGCTGAGGGAATGAAGGTCAGTCGCAGATTTAAGCAAGAGAACTGTTTAGGAGGCAGGATGTGCTATCGTGCCCACACAAACACCATTATCTGCCAGTATCTAATCAACCAATCCCTCATGGCTTTTCCATGTCTCTTTACTTTCTCTCAAGTAACCAAAGCAATTTTCGGTCTCTCGGCCCCTGGGGTTGCTAATGAAAACAAGGGCTGAAAATCAATAGCATTAGTTTAACCAGGTGGTCCATTGAGAGAGACTTTCTGAATTCATGCTGCTCAAAGTGTGAGGATAGATGCTGTCACTATTGTTGGGCCTCGGGCGAAGCAAGAGCCTTATAAATACAACAAACAGCTCGTTAGTTAATCGATAATTTCTCTTACTGTAATGTTTAACCTTGAGCAAGTCATAGTCATGGTTACTACAAAGGTATGCGACCACGGAAACTGAGCAAGCTGTGGGTTTCCCGCCCAGACAGTCACCTTCTACAAATAAGATACTTGAATTAAATACTTAAAAATATGTTGTTTCTACATTTGGATGTTTGAGCTTCACTGTGCAGAACGATGTATGTGCAGAGGTGGACACTAGAAGGATGTTTTCACATTCATCTGCTGGAAGGGGAAAGTTTCTCTGTGCTCACTGGAAATCAGATTTTAAGGGGCCTATGAGCATGATTTGTGACATCACAAGTCACATCAAAAAGGCAGCCCCGCAAGGAAGTTTGCAATTTTGTCCAATCACCACTTTTCTCCAAAATCTGCCCCATCACGGTAGTTTCTTGCCAGTTTCAATTACATTTTATTGGTATAGTGCCAGATCATAACAGAAGTGATTATCAATTTCACATAGCAGTCCCCCATGCAAAATATTTAAGCAATACGTCACCAAACTGTGACAAGCAAGTTACCTTATTTTTGATGAATTATAACAAATATCATAAAAATAACAACGACTTTTGCAATTTCCACTTCCTCGCGCAAATTTCATTGCAAGAAAATGCATAAAAACATTGAAACGTGCAATGTCATTTCTTTAGATAAGCTTCAGTGTGAAATCAACAACTGCCAAAACAAAGCCAGCCTGCAAAACCCTGGAGGGGCTGTGTGCAGTGAAGTAGGAGACATCTCGTGCCCAGAAAGAAATGAACAAAATTTGCATATTTTATTCTATCTATGAGGTAGAAGCTGATGCCTATTTAATGTGGAAATTATACTTGACATGACACTATTATTCCAAGAAGACTATTATATATATATATATATATATATATGTCTTAATACATGTCTGGAAGGGATCTTTAAATTATCTGGACTGGTCAGATAATAGAAATATATTCATGACAAGGTTAAAAAGGATTTTCTGTAAACACTTCACCGTAAGATTTACTCATGTATTCATAGTGTGACTACTGCAGCCTTGGAACAGAATCATACAGAGGCTATCGATAAGAGGGCCAGGTCAGGTAGCCGTCGGTTGCATTTCTCTCAGCCTCAATTTGTTCTGCTCAGCATTTCACCAAGAAACCCATCATGTGACCCTTTCCCGGGCAATAAATGTCAGGGTCAATCCCACGACTGTCAGCCAAGCCAAGCTACCATTAAATTGGCCTCAAAAGTCAATGTAGTCCAAAATTGAGGCAATTTACCATGGCTACCATTTCATAAAAAATAAAAATAATTCTTATATAGCTCAGTCAGAGGCAACGAGCAATAATGCAATCAGCCCCCTGCAGAAGAGTGCAGGGCCCACTCAGCCGGTTGGCCCTCCAGGGTCTACTAGAACACATCCAGCTTGCACTGTCACTGTGAGCCTCTTCATGGCTTTGACAACTTAGAAAATCATCATGCTATTAAATGGGCCAAGCCTACATCCTGCAGACATTTTAATAGGACTGTTTGTCTCTCTGTGTGATGCCAGAAGAGTCACTTGGAAAAGCATTTCTGGGGTTAATTAAGCTCTCTTAAAGAACAGGTGATGCTGCAACCCTTTCACTAAGAACAAGAAAAAACACCGGCTAGCCAGAGCCTTTCCACAGCTTAATGTTATCTCTGGCCAGAAATTGGTTTATTTAAAATACAAGGTCATAATATTTTTTATGAAGATGTTTTATGAACTAAAAACAAAGCGGAAGACTTCTATCGATATTCTTTTGGAGTAAACAGGCCGCAGTTCTGGCCTGGCCTTGTTGGTTGCCTGTGAACGCAGAGGGCGTAATTTGCTGGGAGAAAACACCCTACTTCTTCTACCACTGAAACAAAAAGACACATAGGCACGGAGAAATTTAGTCCCCAATCTGTCAAGAACCAAAGGAAAGCGCAGGCTAAAATGGCAGACAAAGCTTCTCATGGGAGAGCAAGAGAAAGAGGCAACACGATGAAGGAAAGCAGAAGTGATAGAGACTCGAGCGAGGCAACGACAGAACGAGGGAGAATGATCACGCTGGGAGAGAAAGCTTGGTGCCCCTCTCAACGATGCTAACCAGATAAGATCCTAATTATACTATTCCATTCCCTGCTCAAAGAGGGCAATTAGGGGATAAAGCGAGAGAGACAGGGCGAAAGGGTAAGAGCAGAAGAGAGAGAGAGAGAGAGAGAGAGAGTAAAGGACAGCAGCAAGCAGCCCAGCCCAGCACGAAGCCCAATCTTCCTCCACAGCAATTTCCTGCCACAACAGCCTTCCGTGGTTCTGCTGTGGAGAGACCCACCACACAAATAACACTGTCATTAAGCAGCCAATGGATGTCAACTCCCACCCACACCTGCACACTGTACTACTCAAATAATAATAATAACGCCGAGCTCCAGAAATAACACACAAACGATTAATATAGTGTCTTCCGAGCAGACGTCTTTGTGGTAATTATAAATGTAATCTCAGCTTAAACTGGACTGAAAACTGTGGAGGAAACATCTTTTTTTGTTCAGCGGGAGATCATCAATAAGTAAGTTAGCGCTATGAAGGCGAGGAAAGCGAATGCGGTCGACCTGCAATGTCCTGATGAGTCGTCAGGAACAACACAAATCCACGTATGTGCAATGTGCAGACTCACTCCAGCTTTTGGCCCTGGTCATTCCCACCAATGCCACCATTCCTGTCAGCCTGCAGGAGTGCCATGTTTATTTTATGTCACGTCCAGCATAGCTTTAATTCATTTAGACTTTGTTTATATTCTATATCTATCTATCTCTGTGATCTGCATATAAAACCACATCCTCATCTCTAAAACCCCCAGCTTGATCGCTGATACAAACATCTCGCTGATGCATCTCCATATTCATAAATCCCTTCAGCGTGATTTAAAGATGCTGATTACAACTTTTGCCAGACCTTAACCAATCACAACATTCAAATGTAAATTTATATCAAATGGGGGGGGGGTGCTTATTCCCAGCTGACATTTAGTTGTAGCTCCGTTCTGTTGATAACAAGAAACTGGCGTAGAATCCCAATATATCCCAGCAGGCAGGGCTATTTACTGTACAGCCTGTATGGAACACTGTGGGCGGAAAATGTGATTTAAAACTGCAGCAATAAAATTAAAGTAATATATTTCTTTCACATACTGTATTGTTTTTTTTTTAACCTTCAATCTCATACAGGCTAGTTTGTGCAGGATTTTCTTTCCAAAGACAAACAAAGAGAAAAAGACCTGGCGGTACTCACAGTAGGTTTTCCTTGTCAACTCCTCCACCACCTCTTGCTTGAGCTTGCTGTTTGATTTACCCATGATCTTCAGCTCTCCTCCACACCCCCAAATCCACCTTGGCACGCGGCACCTGTTACTACCTCCTCTCCAGTCTGCTCCTCTGCCAAAAACATACACAAACGCAGGGGCCAGTTCAGGTTCAGTGACACCGGTGAAACAAGAGTAACACACTTTTGTTTTGGTTTGGAGAAAAGAAAAAAAGAAAAAGCAACTTCCATTCAAGCTAAATGAGTCTATCGTTCTGTGTAGGTCACTCTAGCTGCAGTCATGATCTGCTCAGTCATCAGCCCTGGCACTCCAGACAGGCGAGTCAAACCCCAGGGGCCCGCAGGCCGGCAGGTTGTTGAGTCTATCTGAGCGCCGCTGAGTGCCTATGTGACCGCCTCATTTCTTCACAGCAGTCCGTGGGCGAAGAGTGGCGTTTGGATGCGTTGCTACCTTCGTCCTTGGATACAAGAGTCACTCAGTGGCTGGGTTAAGCACGCTCACTCCCTCACAGTCATTCTCTGTTCTTCTCACTCCTCCCACCCCTCCTTTTTCCCACCACTATCTCTATTGCTCTGGGTAAGTTACTGTAGAGAAGAATCCTCCCTCTTGACAGCTGAGATAAGGAGGTGTGTAAACTAAAATACAATGAACAGAGCTCGCCTTGGATACCCCCCCCGCTGCACTTTGTACTCACTCAAAGTGTTGACTCTAATCCCAGGAATTCATACAGACATGAGAGTTTAAGAAAAAGTAAAAGCTTTCAGTAATAATTTATGGAAAGCAAAAAAAGAGAAAGAAAAGAAAAGAAAAGGGGTCTCTACATAGTTCCTAGATTCTAGATGCCAGCTGAAAGGAGATCTGGTCTTGCTCTTAAAATAAGTGTGTGAAGCTTATAGGCGGATTTGAAGAGTGACAGTTTTCTTTTCTTCTCCGTTCTGACTCATAATTCTCCCTCCTTCCTGGCCCCACGACAGCATGGTATGGTGATTTCCTCCTCTCTGTCACAGCAGACAGGAGATGAGGGATAATGGAATTTCTCTGTATCACGGACCTGGCGTCGGCATGCCACTGATGCCTATCCACAGCAACTGTCTAAGCCCCAGAATAGAAAATATGCACTAGGCACCTTCACTGCAAACATCTGTCCTCCGTGTCCATGGCCAGTGATGTCCTTCTCAGGGGTGCCAGGCTGGTAATCACCATCTTGTGTTCCTTGTGGTCTCGGGGTATTACTTAGACACTATGAAATAAACACAGACAGACAGCAGTTTCAGTGAGAACGGAAAGCATCTGCTGTGTTTTAATGGAAATGGACTGTGTTGTCACCTAGAGCCACAGACACATGAGCACTGGACTGGAAAATCACTCAAAACAAACAACGACCTTTCTCCTGTGTGCCGAAGCTGCCGTACAGCCCACAGGCTGGCGAGGCACAACGTGGGGGCAAGAAGAGTGGCTGCAATCTAAGTGCAGGGGGGCTATTAATGAACTGAACGCATTTCAATTAGCACAATTTTAAATGACAAGCAAATGAACTGTAGCTTTAAGTCTCAGACGTGATCGATTCAGAAACTAAGACACACACCTAATGAAAGGCTGGATTAACACACACGTGAAAGAGCGCGTTGTTTGCATATATATATCCACGTTTGTTTTGGTTGACAGGAAACGCATATAGGCTCGGCAGCAGCAGGTGGGATGTTGCCTGGCAGCACCATAGCAACACACACTTTATGGCTCCAGTACAACAGACACAGTGCGGGGAAAGCTCGCTTAAAGGCACTGTACACGCAACGTTTTGGTACCCACGCTGCTCCCCCCCTCCCGTTAGCTGGGTGACTTCAGGAAAATAAATAAAAACAAAAAACAAAACAAAAAGAACTCACCTCCAAATAAATAAAAGCGTTTCCACGTTGAGTGACTTCGGGGTTTCTGCCTGAGCCACGGACGCGGAAAGTCGCCGTCCGAAGCAAAGAGAGAGAGAGAGAGAGAGAGAGAGAGAGAGAGAGAGAGAGCCGCTGTCCGACGTTGTGTTCCTCCGCCGAGTTCCGGAGCGACTCGCTGCTGCGCGGTTGGCCGCCCGTGCTGCTCTGATGCCGGCGTCAGGGAGTGACGTTGCTGCTGGCCCCGACCAACTCCGCTCGGTGCCAGAGACACTGACGTCGCGGTGCCGTTGCTCATACACTGACTCTTTGTGTGCTTTAAGACTGCGGTTCCCACCCTTTTTTTTTTCCTTAAGGGGACCCCTTTTTCTATCATTGAGTAAACCGATGAGCCCCGACAGAGTGACATATTCTATGGATACTTCATATTACATGAGAGTAACAGCTGATAAACTGTACAATGAACCCAAACAGTGAACTAACTAACTGCAGGAAGTTTGTATAAGACGAGCGATTTGGATGAATTTTGAGCAGATTATTTCAATGTGAATATTGATATTGATCAGATATTTTTTTGAAATACATTTTTAGTAACTTTTTACACAATTCTTTGTCAGCAGTTTTTTACTTTTTCACAATCATACATACCTACTAGGCTTCTTTTTTGACTAAATCTATGTTTGACTTGTTGAGATATAGTCCTACTATGTATATTTTTTACACCCCTTAAAATTAAGAAGGTTTTGCGACCCCCCTGTGAAGCTTTGTTGACCCCTAGTGGGGGGTCCCTAGCCCCAGGTTGGGAACCAGTGACTGGTTAGTCCACCCAAACTCACTTTCTGACCCACATTCTCAGTTTTAAAGGCACTTTTATACATGTGATACGATCCAAAGCCTATGGAAATCCTTGCATGATTGGCTAATCTCCAAATCCATGAATATAGATTTCTATTCTTGTGATTCTATTCAAATTGGAGCAATTTTGAAAAATAAATAAATTGTATTTCTTATTAATAATATTATAATTATAACAGTATATAACATACTACATGAATGTCAATGCGCCAAATCAGTTCCAGTGTTTAAAATTGGTGTTAATAAAGGAAATTCAAAATTTAAAAAAAGTCTAGGATATTCTTGTCAATGGTGGTTCAAATGTTTTTCATTATGTTATGACTGGAGGTGCTTTACATTATTATAAGCTAATCACTGCATTAGATTGTGTAATGAACTGTATGATACAACTAATCAGAATGTGGTTTATTGCCAAGTAGGTTTTCACATACAAGGAATTTGCCTTGGTAAATTGGTGCATAACATTAAGAAATATAAATAAAGACAAAAATAGAGACAATAATAGGAGCCAATATATACAAATATAAAAAGAGAGAGAAAATGTACAATATGCTACAAAAAGCTACAGAAATAAGTTAATAAGTTTACCAGAGAATCTACAAGTTAGCAATGTTACATATAATGAGATCTGGAGTGTACAATGAAAGTGCATTGATTAGATTCAGAGTGGGTTTAAGAGTCAGATGTCAAAACTCTGACAGCAGACCTTTTTCACAGCAGCTATTTTGATATAGTAGGTTAAGCACTGTCAGTGCCTGAAAATGCACCAGCACTTCTGATTTTTGTCCACATGACTACTCTTACTTTTTATTGGGTGCCGGCACCTCTGGTGATTATGGTTGTACCCACCCCTGAGGTCATCGAGGTCCAGGCCTCTGTATTTTTTCCAAGGGGTATACAATAAAAGTCTGGAAATAATTGACCCAAACTAACTTTCCTTTCATGCTTTGATGCGTACCCCCCAATCTCCCCCTAGCATGTTCAGTTTCTCAACCTTGGTTTTTCTAAAACCCTGCATATAGCAATGCTGGAGAGGGAGTCTTAATACCTAAAAGAAAAACAGCACTGAAAATGTCCTTGTTAAGAATGAGGGTTATGTTGTGTTTAGGGTTGAGGTGAATTGGGGTACTGGTTCCTTTTTTGGTCCAAATGAGGCACTGGTTACAATCATACTAATTAAGGTTCAGTTCCATTCAGATCAAATAGAGTCAAGGTTAGGGATGGGACGATATTATCATGCACAGCGATAAACACATCTATCTTGGTGTTTATTGTTTATTAAGGATCCCCATTAAAAGCACATGTATGTGCCCCTAGTCTCTCTGGGGTCCTGGACACCAAAAATACAGTACAAACATACAATATAAAAGAAAATACAAACATCAAGTTAGAATATAACAGTACTAGACAAATCAACTAATAAGGGAAGACAAGAATAAAGTGATAACAGATCATAATGAGATTTAGGTAAAAATAAAACGAGAAGAAAAAACCCAAACAGACCAGTATACGTGTTCTTATGCTGTTATGTGAAGATATTTCTTCATGTGCTTTCTAAAAGTTGTTTTGTTATGAACAATAGATGAGATATGATATAGCAGAGAATTAGCACTATTGACCTGTAGACAGTAGTTTTATGAAAAAAATTAAAATTCAATTCAAAATCCATGTCATTGGTAACACCTATGATTACCCTACTATTTCATGTCAAAATGGCTGCTGTGAAAAACTCAAATTATTAATCAATTATCAAAATGCTTGGTTACTGTAAAATTGTGTATGATACCATTTCAAGCTATAGGCCTGTGTTTATAGTCTAGAAGTAGCTATTAAAGGGACTATTTAGCGTTAAATTGGGGCACTCACAAGAGGTTGGAATAGTCAAAACTAATCCAGCAGAAGCTGGAATATACTGACTCTTAGTCCTTGGGTCAAGCTTCAAAAACACTACAGTTCCCATAATGCAACAAAATGTAAAATCTTTCACTAGACCCATCAACATATAAACGGTGGACGGCGCGTCTCCACTTCCTCTCTGTACACTTGAACATACATCAGTGGGATGAAAACTACCTAAATTGTCAGAAACCATCATGTACCATCTTGATTTTCTCCCATCTGCTAATATGGAAGCAGGCTTTATGACCTATACTGCAGTCAGCCACCAGAGGGCGATGGAGATATTTTGGCTTCACTTTTGGTGAGCTGTCATGTCATCCATCTTTATCTACTATGTGGATGGTTAGACCTTGTCTGTCAAATGCCCTGGGGCAAGTTCAGTTTCACTATGGTTCCCGGGTTGAGCGACATGTTTTCTTCGGGCTTTGAGGTACATTTGGTGGGTGTGTCAGAGGTGATAACCAATCAGCTGCAACGTTGCATGTATATAACCAGGCAGTGGGCATGCATAGAGGGTGTGGCACCACAATTTTTGTTTAAATAAAGGTTTTGCTATGTTTTGTTTGGGCTGAATGTAGCCCAGGACTTTTAACATCCACCCACAAGATCTTAACACTGACTGTTTAAAATCTGAGTCTGAAATAACCCCGATGACACCATCGGGTTATCTCAGTTTTCTCAGACTTTAAAAATCTCCCTTCAGAGTCGCAAAAGACATGATACAATTGTTTTCACAGACTAATCAATACTCTACATGACAAGTAAACTGATGTAGAAGATTTAAGAGTGTTAAGTAAGTTCCAAGTTTTGCTGTAATACTTCTTTCTATAGCCATTATATAACAAAATGTCCTAGACTAGAAGTCTAGAAGCTTGAGAGTGGGATGTAAAATTGCGAGAGCATACCAGGAAAATTCAGGTTAAGTTTGTCCAAACATAGTCTACTATAATTACTGATTTGGAGAGCACAAGGCCGAGCTGAGAAAATGATTTCAGATATACTACTATATTTGCTAGGATAGGAGAAGGAAGACCGGTTAGAAGCAGAAGATTAATGTTCTGCAGTCTTCATGTGTATTGATTGCTTATTTAACTACATGAAGCATGCAAGGACAAGTCATTTTACCCACGAGTCTCAATTTATCACATTTGTGACTCATCCTTGTTACTCATGTGAGTCCAAACTTTGCAGTCAGACCTTTGTGCATGCAGCCTGTTAAAATTCTGGTCCCATCAGCTGCATGTCAACAGATGTTCGGTTATAGCATTGGCCCATTAACAACTGCCTCACCATCATTCTATAGCACAGACAGTGCTTTCAGCCGATTCATTTGGAAGGGTTGGATCTAAATGTGGGCTGTGTGGCTTGGTCATCTTAGTATTCTGTGCCCTTCCCTGCAGTCCCTTATTGCAGTCAACTGCAGTTACAGTAGTCTCGTAGGAATAGAGGGAACAAGGCTGAGCAGGAAAAAGAGGCCATGGCAAAATGGGGTAAATTAATGGAAGATTTCTAATCTTTTTATGCAGTAGACCCGAGAGCAGGTGGAAATAAAGGATTGGTTCTTTTTAGAAATATAGTTAGCTTCAACTCCAGCTTTGTGGGATTTCTCATTATATTAGTTTACTACCAACCATTAAGTCCAATATAGATCTCAGTTCCATACATTTTGACTGTTTTAGTCTCATCGAAAAAATGTGTGTGTTGTCAAGGAAATGCCATAAATTACAGCTGCAAATCCAACACATTTGACTGTTTCTAGAGACCAAAAGACCCACTTTGAAACATATTAAAGCTGCCACTTATTCCCATTCTTATTTGCTTATCTGATAGTCATAATGGGGATATGGAATTTCCACAGCACAGCATCAAACACAGAAGCACTAATTTCAATCATTTCCTATCATTCAAACACACATCACAAGAGCACTTCCCCTGAAAACAATTCAGCGTAATTACTCGCAGATATTTGTCCATTTATCAGAAACCACACACACACACACACACACTATTATCATTAAATCATCATCAGCATCATCGGCATCATTAAATGCCCCTGCAGCGTCTTTGCATCACCATGATGTGCTGACATATGCTTAAACAGCTGGGGGACTACTGGAGGAAAACCACTGCCTGGAAAATATCTGTGTATTTTGTATAGTGCCACTGAGTTATAGCACCGTCGGTGGCGCATTACAGGCTGGGAAGTCATCATCTCAGGGCTGACAATATTCCATCAACACAATATTTGTCTTAATTAGCAGTGAAAACACAAGAAGGTAGTAAAAGCTCCATCAGCAGCAGGAAACATTCTGGAGTTTACAGATTTTTAGTATATTACAACTTGAAGACAGAGTTGCTCATACATAAACAGAGCGCATAGCGGTTGAGAGAAACATGAGTATATTTGAAAAACTGATGTTATGAGGCCATTTGGTGGTGATATTTTTATGTATGGCTGTAACTTTGATTCAACATCTGATTCATCACTCTGGCAGTTTTATAAATAGTGACATATACCTAACAGAAATGCAGCTTCAGTGAGTCAGACATGAAAGATGTGCTAGATTTAACCAAGGCTCTGTGGCTATAGTAACAATTGATAACTTGGAAGATTAAAAAAGCACTGTCAAGACAAAGATTTGATTATTTAAGTATTCAGTCTGTGACTCAGACTCAGACCGTGCTTAGAAAGCAAGATGTCCGTGCCAGCTGCTGAAATTAACATCATGAAATAAATTTTCTTTCAAACAGATACAAACAAACAAATAGTTTAGGTACTGGGCTGTCATGAAGAGGTAAACATTCCTAGTTTTTGCACACATGAATCTTTTACAACAGTGTGACAGATGGAGGGAAAGACAAAGAGCAGCAGATGAACGAGAATCCTTTTATGTACAAGCCAGAACCACTCTAGATAAATGCGTCTCAAAATGAAACACTGAGAGGTTGGGCCTCACAATACAAAATCGAGTTAACCAAATCTCAGTCCAAAAGGCTGTAACAAGTAGCAAACCATTTGGAAGGTTTCTGGGGGGTATTAATTACAGATTTTTACAATAAAATGTATAATTGCAAGGAAAGAGTGACTGTATTTATCTAACAGACTAAAGAGATCCCTAAGTCTTCCATGAACAACTTCCTCCTTCTTCGCTGACTGCCACCAAACAACATTTTCCTGAGGCATCATCTGTTGTGCCAACTTGAGTATCCCATATGGCTAGATATATATAATTTAGGATCATAAATATACCATCCCTCCCTTCCCATGAACAGACATGAGGATCCAACAACACTTATCACGGTCTGTTGTGCTCAGTAAATCCAGCAGGGCATCGGGGTTTTAGTGGAGCAGCGATGCTGGTGTAATGCCTGCGACATCCAGCTGTTAATTCAGACTGACAACAGGCAGATATCTGGCAGACTAATGAAAGATGGGGCTTGAATCCTGGCTTTACAGAGATAAACCAGGAAGGAAGGAAGGGGATGCAGAGGAGGAGAAAGAGAGGAAAGGCGAGGGTCAAACACTTTTTGCAGTGTAGTGAAACAACGTTTTAGAGTTGATTTTGAAGAATACATTCTGGTTATTTCAGAATATTTGTATCATTATCACAGCAGGAGGGAAATGTTGCCTAATAAAGTCCCCCCTCCACTCAAAAACATGTTTTCCTATCCAGTTTAATGTTTGAGCTTTGCTGTGCAGAATGATGTATGTGCAGAGTTTGACACTGGAAGGATGTTTTAACATTCATCTGCTGAAAGTGGAAAGTTTCTCTGTTCTCACTGAAAATCAGATTTTAAAGGGGCGTGGCCTACGAGCATGATTTGTGACATCACAACTAGTCCTGGGGAATTTCCAGACTTTTTTGACTGGGCTGGCACAAGCGGAGCACTGACTTATGCAGGGGTGGCAAGTATGCGTCTCAGCTTTCCAGTCATTCCCAATTTATACAATTCCAATACTGTTTAGGGACCGCAGTACACAGAAAAATTCCAATACATGTACCACATGCAAAAAAACTGCATGGTTTTTGCCTAAAAACTGTATGGGATTTGCCTAAAAACTGTATGGGATTAGCATGTCTGCATTTTCATTCAGATATCTTGAGGTAGGGGGTCAGAGGTCGGAGGTTTGAAAAGGACCACGCCAGTTCTTCCATCACCAAAGTGTAGCCTAACTTTTCAGCATTATGTAGCCCCCTTCTGATTCTGGATTTTTTTTTAATGAGGTAGAAGGAGTAGATGCCTTTTTAAGGATTCTAATGTGGAAATTATACTTCTTTTGCAGAAAAAAAACACATCAGACACATATAATTGTTCCAACAGACTATTTGTATATGTCTGGAGGGGATCTTTAAGCAATGAAAATTAATCAATAGAGAAAACCAGCATCGTGTTAAAAGCGGGATGCAATCTGTAGGGCCTAGATTTTTAGCATTTTTATCATCAAAGGCACAAAGATATATTTATATATAAAGACTTCTCTGCCCCCGATTATAAAAACATCACTACTTATAGTCAAATCTAGAGATTAAAGTCACTCATCCGGCCCAGTTTAAGTAGAAAAATAATCATAGCAATGACCTGGAGGAAAAAGCTTGTCAATTGTAGCTTTAATGTTGTTGTTTTATTGTTTCCACTGTGGATCTTCTGCCATCAAAATAAGCAATTTAGCATTAGATAAGGTTTTATGACTGTCATGGACATAAGGGATGTTATTTTGTTGTACTCTTGTGGAGGAGTGTGTGTGCATCTGTTCCCTCCCAGTCTCTCTCAGTCCATCTGCAGGATCATGTCTGCCCTCTAATGGCCACAACAGGCAACGACACACACGGTTATTTATGATAATGAGGATTACATCAGCAGTGATTGCAACTGTGAAAGGCTTAAAGATAAATATGGGTAGGATGCAAAGGTGGATGTTGGTCCCTAAATATAGCATGCAGCTGCCGTCACTGATTCTCCCACATCATCAAAATACAAAAAAGTCTGAATGGATTGTAATAGTTTTAATTGCTCAGTGGCGAAAGGCAGGAAATTACATAAATTAGTCATAGCACACACAAAAAAGGATAACCAATGAGAGCTGTCCCTGAATGACGTGTGTCACTCAAAAAAACTTTGTCCCTACTGTTTACATAAACACATGTACCCTCTTGACTGGCTGAATAGGAGGATCACATATTGTCCTGGTGTTAAAGCAGAGCAGGTAGACGCACAGGAAGAAGGGGAAACATGGCTTTTATGACTCTGCTGTGTCTGCTGTTACTGCAGCCTGGCTCCACCGCTCTAATGAGTTCTCCATTGGACGAGGTAGGTGGAAAGCTGCGGGTGAACAGGAGCACTGTGGTTAGTGATTCTTCTGCTCGGGACTTCTGCAAAGTACATTGAACTCTTCAACTTTAAACTGTTTATCATCCTGTGAAAACCTGCAGAGAGACATGTTTTTACTGGATTTACACAGCAACCACTAAAAAACAAAAGCTCCAAGATAGTTTCAGTGTTTTCATTCTGTATTTGGGCCACAGATCTAAATATAGTTACACAGGTTTAAAGCTGCCGTTTCCACAGGACCTAAAAATTGTGTTATTGTCTGTGTCCTCTTTAAGCTTTTTCATCACTCGTCCAGTCAGAGAGACATAGTTTCCTTTCCTGGTTCTTCTCCTGATGCCTCAGGTACGTCTTTCTATGGCTTAAGTGTAAAAACAGTTTGAGGACTTACAGATAATGCAATGAAATCTATCTTCTTTCTGTCATAGTGTAATGATGTGTGATATAAAACGCCATCTTATAGTGGTGCTTTAACTACAAAAACAGCCACTGTGCACATTAGGGGGGGCAGTAGCTCAGTCTGTAGGAACTTGGTTTTTGTGAACGCTTCAAGTCCAGTATGAACCACGGTATGGAGTATGGAGTTCACCTCCTGGGCACTGCTGAAGTGGCCTTGAGCAAGGTACCAAACCTGTAACTGCTCTTGGTTGTGGCAGCAACAGAAAAGTATTTATTAAATAAAGTAAATATAATAAAGTAAGCAGATTACTGGTGTATGCCTATACTGTGTCTTCTCCTCGTTCCCAGCGAGCGGGCGGCTGCGTCGATCGGCTCTGATGCCTGACATCACACATCTGGAACTGCTGGTGGTGGTGGGTCCTGATGTCCAGCAGGTCCACAAGCAGGATACTGAACGATACATCCTCACCAACCTCAACATTGTAAATCTGAGCACAGACACACAGTAAAAAAATGATGGTTTTCTGAACGCTTTCTGTTCTGTTGATTCCCATTTCTGTGCCTTCAAAGCCAATATATGGGAAAAGGCAGTGGAGCACACTTAAAGCCCCCTTCACTCGAAAATCAGTTTTTCTTCTTCTTCCTACAGTTGGATGTTTGAAACTAGAAAGAAGTTTTCACATGTATCTGCTGAAAGTGGAAAGTTTCTCTGTGCTCACTGGAAATCTGATTTTAGGGGCCTACGTGCATGATTTGTGATATCAAAAATACTAAATCCTGGTCCAGTATGCAACTTATACAGTGTGATCCACCAGTGCACATACACTGAGAAGGAGGCAGTGTTACATAGGTACATAGGAATATGGAATTTTGAATGTAGCAGATGTAGTAAAAGTAGGTGCCTTTTTAAGGATTATGGAAAATATACTTTTTTTTTGCATATCTGGAAGGGATCTTTAAACAAACACTATTTACAGCACAGTAAGTAATGAATAAATAATGAGGTAGCAAATTAGAGCAAAAAAATGTAGTATGTTGAAATGTTATACATACATAACCAGAAGTATAGACTCTGCTGCAATGCTACAGTCCTGGTACACTCTGAACATCCTGAGATGTATGAACCTGACTTATATTCCAATTTCCACCCAGGCCTCCGAGCTGCTGAGAGACATGACCCTGGGTGCCAACATGAGGGTGCACCTGGTCCGCATGATCATCCTGTCAGAGCCAGAGGTAAGCGGCTCAGTCACTCAACCTAGAAGTTCATAATTGGCCAAATTTGAGAAGTAGTCTTAGAGCTGTTGTAATTTGAGCATTCATAAGCCAATGTTGTTATCCAGGGTGACTTTGAATGTGAGCAGTAAAATAACCTTCTTTCTGTTGTATGATTAGTATCTTACTTTTATCACTGTGTCACTCTTCTAGCCAGAGATCCAAATGTCGACCAACATTACCTCTTCTCTCAGAAGTGTGTGTGACTGGGGCCGAAGGATAAACCCCTCAAACGATACAAACCCACTACACGCTGATCTGCTGTTGTACATTACAAGGTGTGCCATGTGTAGCTGTATTGTATGTATAAGTCAATGTTTTCTTCGTATTTTATGAATGAATAATTGCTTTACTATATGTTTATCACAAACAGGTATGACCTGGTGTTGCCCGATGGGAACAAGCAGGTCAGGGGGGTAGCGCAGCTGGGTGGGGCTTGCTCCAGTGAATGGAGCTGTGTGATCACAGAGGACACAGGCTTTGACCTGGGGATCACCATCACTCATGAAATTGGCCACAGGTAACAGTGAATCCACATTATCTTCAATATGAAAACACTTTGTTTTACAAGCCTGTAATAATTACGTTTCCTGGAAAGAAATATGTAATTTGGCATTAATTACAGGGAAAGTAGAGACAGCTGGTACACTTTCAATGTATCCATTCAAATGAGTTGCTACTGTAATCTGGATTGTTTTGGTCAGTTCACAAGAAGTCAGCTAAACATGCAGAAGTGTCATATCTGACCACAGACAAACATAAATTAAACATACATATGGAGAATGAAGTATCTAGTTATGGATATTGAAAATATATACTTGTATTTAAATGGTTAATTTTCAGTTTTGTAAACAAGCAAAACAAATACAAATGACTCAGGAATAACACTGTTTTTGCAATAACCACAGCATATTATATTGTCTTTGTTTGATTGGAAACTAGGTAGACTTAATAGTAGGGCTGCAGAACAGTGGGATCTGCATTTGTATTTATAACAGTTATGTATCAGTCCAGTATTGATATTTTCTCACACCCCTATTTAATAGATTCTTTCAGAAAAGCACTTAAAAATATCTGACCAGAACTTGCTTAGCTTGGGGCAACACTAAATGCTGCTGATTTACATTTCAGGCAAATTGGGGACACAGGAGGATAGAAACAGTGTTGTTTGCTGCAGGGATAATGTAGTCTATGAATTACTTTAAACTTAATTAAGTGTGAAGTTTCTAGAATTTATAGAGCAACTGTGAATGGCTTTAAAACAAACTATTTTCCTTATAATTAGTACCAAATAATGTGTCTCTTTCCAGGAAAGTTCTTATACACAATTAGGAAAATACAGGCCAGTAAAAAGATTTAATTACATTGTGCAATTTAATAGAGCTCGGTTAAAAGAATATAGCAGACAGTTTTAATGAAAAATCCTTACAGTGGAGTTTAAATGCTGTCACCAGTCATGCAAAATCTACTTTTTACAACTTCATTGAGAGTGCGTCATGATATAAGCACCTTAATAGAGACATTTCAACATGTTATATTTCATTCGCGTTCACCCAGTTTTGGAATCAACCATGATGGAGTGGGTAACACCTGCAGCAGGAGTGGCTTCATGATGGCCTCGGATGGAGGCTACAACAGTGTGGATCTGACCTGGTCGCCGTGCAGCAGACAGCAGCTGCTCACATTCTTCAGGTGGGCCAACCTGTTCAGAGCAGCTGTGCATGACAGTGCCTCTTATTCATCATGCAGACCTGGAGCTGTTGAAAGGGCATTTCATCTATAAGTCATATCTTAATGTTTTTACCTCAAGGCTGTTCTCGCTGATTTCTCCTTTCACATTCTGAGAATAGACCGATGCGATGCAATATTTGGCTTTGATCTGACCTTTTTTAAAACTTTATTACGACTTAAAGCAGCAGTCGGGTACTTCTGGCTGCTAGTGTTTCCACATCTTGTTTCATTGATTTCAAGGGGAATCCAACTGAATCCAATCCAGTGGAGGCATTTCTTCTTGTTTAAGGTCTTATGTACTTCAGTATTACATTGAGACTGTTTCATAATCAGTTAAAAACTCCTTGTAGTAGGTTTAAGTATATAAAAACTCTTATTTGCTATACTCTGGACTTGACAGAGACATGTGTTCATGTTCCCAGTGAAGGCAAATCAGAATGTGTAAAAGACCTTCCTGCACTGGGAGGCTCCCTACAAGACTGGAAGCCTGGTTTATATTATGGGGTTGATGACCAGTGCCGTATAGCTTTTGGTAGCTCTGCAAGAGCCTGCTCTTTCACCAACCCCGACCTGGTGAGTCACCTGTAATAGCAGCTTAATATCGCCAGATGGCAGTTCACATCAAAAATGACCACATTTGTAGTCATGTTTACAGTATTGGTCTCTTTTTCCATCAGCCAGCTTGCCGTGCTCTGTCCTGTCACGTTAACCCAGATGATGACAGCTCCTGCAAACGTCTCCTGGTTCCACTGCTGGACGGGACAGAGTGTGCACCTAATCAGGTACTCTCTCTCTGTGATCAGTGAATCATTTTGGTGCAATCATTTTCCCAGAGTGAAATTATTTACTAAAAGTAGGCCCAAGTAGGGGCGTTTCCAGAGGGGGAGCCTGGAATCTGATTGGCCACCCCAAGTGCCACCCCATTATACTTCCCTCTTCCACTCCACACTGTCTTTCAGAGGCTGTACAGGGTTCCATTTTAAAGCTAGAGTGAGACTAGATGACCTAATGCATCCATTGGTACCAACAATGTAATGCTAGCATGTAGTGAAGTGCCACCCCAGTCAAAGAAGTCTGGAAACGCCCCTGGGCCCAAGCATGTTTTTCATGAGGTGCATCCTCTCTTTCAGTGGTGTTTGAAGGGACGTTGTGTGTCCTTAGATGAGCTCAGCTCCTCTGCCATGGTGCATGGCTCCTGGTCCAGCTGGTCCGAGTTCTCCACTTGCTCACGGACGTGTGGTGGGGGAGTCACTCATCGCACACGGAAATGCAATAACCCGAGGTAACGAATGTGATGCAAGCATCGGTCATAGTCAGTGCAGGAGATCCTGTGACTGTACTTTATGTGAAAAGGCTGGAACAATAAAATAAACGATGTGTCATTTCAGACCTGCTTTTGGAGGGAATGACTGTGAGGGACCGGATATTGAGGCTGAACTTTGTCACCAGCAGGTTATTTTCTTACTGGTTATGTTTACAGTGGGCCTCCATACAGTAGGTCAGTACTGTTTACTCAGTGGATCATTGTACCCAGAGTCGCCCACTTTTTAATGATCTTTTGTCAGTAGCTCACAGGCTGTGCTCCCAGAAGAAGCCTCTAAAAATAGATGCGTTGATGGGACGACTCAGAGAATTAGAGGCAAAAAAGTCATTTAAAAGTGTGACCATGAGCTTTGGGCAAAGTGAGCTATTCTCAAAATCAATTTTAGATAAAGAAAAATGTTCTGCCCTGAATGCCTCTGTGGTGGTTCAGGGCTGAAGGTGCAAATATCTCAGTGGTGGATTTAGACACCATCATCAGGCCAGAAAATAAAAAAAAATAAACTGTTATTTCTACCACACATGTTGTTGCAGCCATGTGAGCGTACTCAGCTGGATTTCATGGCAGAGCAGTGTTCCCAAACAGACCTCCACCCCCTCTACCTGCTCCCAAACACTGCCTCCTTCTACACCTGGATCCCCGCTGTAGGCTTTGCACAAGGTGGGCCTAAAGAAAACTTTTTCCATATGTAAAGGGACAAAACTTTTACCTGAACATCTTTCTGTGAACTCTTCTCGTCATAACCAGGGGATGAGCAGTGCAGATATACGTGCCAGTCAGATGGGGAAAACTTCATAGTGAGCCGTGGCTCTCAGTTTGTGGACGGGACTCGCTGTCAGTCAGGCAGCCCGCCTCCCTTTGGCTCCACAGCTGCTTGTCTAAGAGGGAAATGTCAGGTAGAGATGGCTGAGTGTGGCTGAGCATGACAGAGAACAGATGGCATCTTTTTTTTTAACACTCACTCTTAAACCTTTTTAAATTTACTGTTTGTCTCTGTTCAGCTGTTTGGCTGTGATGGTGCACTGCATTCTGGGAAAGTGAGGGATGTGTGTGGGGTGTGCGGTGGAGATGGATCGTCCTGCAGTTTGACCTCTGACTCCTACACTGGTGGTCAAGCCAGAGGTAGCAAACAACAGCATGAGATTTTTTAAAATATTCAATGTTTTAATAATTGATTAATCATTTATTGAGCAGAAGTATCAGACGCTGTCTGATTCCTGCTTCTCAAATGTGATTATCTGTGGTTTTTCTAAGTTTTATATGATTGTAAATGTATTTCCTTTGGGGTTTAGATTGGTTGTCAGACAAAACAAGCAATTTTGAAGGTCCAGTGTGTGACATTTAGGAGGATCTATTGGCAGAAATGGAATCTAATATTCATAGGTATATTTTCATTTGTGTATAATCACCTGCAGCGATAAGAATCGCTGTGTCTTCATTACCTTAGAACAGCAACCTTTACTATTAAAAGAGCTATTTTTGGCCAAAAAAATAAAAATCTGCCTGAAGCTGCAAAACATATTTAAGACTTATAATAGTAATTTCTCGTAAGGAATGGAATCCACAGCGAGCCTAGCTAGGGAGACAAAAGACTGGTAGTCAATGCTATTGAGGTTCAGTAAAATATATATAGGAAAAGGTGGCAGGTCAGGACTTTAGGATTGATGCACATTTTAGCTGACGAAATGCTAAATCAGTTTTTTAATTTGGTGTGTAATGGCAACACAGTTTTAGAACTGGATGTAAGAATTACTGTAGGCTGGTTTTACTTGGTTGCAATATGCAATTTCACCACTAGAGGCCACTAAATACTACACATTGGTCCTTTAATATTTCTTATTTGTATCTTGGAGCTCTTTTTGCTATTTTCTCATATTTTTTTTTACAAAACGCTGAACCAGTTAACTGCAAATCAATCGATTAATTAGTAATGATAGATATAGCCCTTGCTCCTGTTCTGTCTTCCATGAGGTATAATTCAGTGCTTCCTGTTTCAGAGTACACCACCTTCCTCTCTCTGCCAGTGAATGCCACACAGGTCCACATTGTCAACAGGGCTCCTCTCTTCACTCACATGGGTGGGTGTCATCGCTTTACTTTACAACAGATTTACGTTTTCGACAACGGGACTAAAACTGGAGTTGATTTTTGAAACTTCTGTCCGCAGCTGTAACGGATGGGGATCGGTACATTGTGTCTGGGAGGGGCAGCATGGGGCTGAATATGACCCACCCCTCCCCACTGGATGATAACCGCCTAGAGTACCACCTCCACCTGACCCCTGACCTTTTGCCTGAGATGGAGGAGCTGCTGTTGCCCGGACCACTGCAAGAGGAGATAAACATACAGGTCAGAGGTGGACTTTCTTCAGCAACTGAAAACTTTCACACACCTTTACAACATATCAACTCAAATGGGGAAAACTACAGCATGTGTGCAACATCTGACATTTGCATTTATTTTTCTCTTTCTAGGTCTATCGTAAATATGGAAAAGAATATGGAGAGAAAACAAATCCGAACATTAGCTTCCAGTTCTACCTGCCTAACAGAAACAGTGACTTGACAGACATCACACCTAAAGGAAAATGGGCTGTCTTAACAACACCCTGCTCTGTCTCCTGTGGATCGGGCAAGAAACTGTTAATCACAAGTTTTATCGAAAAGCACAAAAAGAATACTCAGAGTAATATCTTGTATTCTATTAGTATAAATTCACAGACTGGTAGCACGAAGCAAATCCCAAAGAGGAGGCATTTTATCACATACTTACAGGATCTGTAAGGACACTGTAGTGTTGAATATGCCAAAATCACTTTGTTATTGTTGTGATCTCAGATCACAGTAGAAATATAACTTAAACTTAAAACCATAGATTTCATTTAGAATAGTGCAATTAAGTCTTTTTTTTTATTTACAGGTGTACAGAAGCATGTATACGTCTGTGTAGGACAAGATACCAACAACCATTTGGAGGAACACAATTGTGAAACACCTCCTCCACCTACACCACTCCACACAACCTGTCAGCTCTCCCCCTGTCCCCCCAGGTTAGGTCCATACTCCTTTCCCTCCTTTCCCTATGTACTGACATTCCCACGGAGCTCAGCACAAATGGGTACACATGAATAATTTACTGTCTTACAGGTGGGATACGGGGATGTTTGGGCCTTGCAGTGCCTCCTGTGGTGGAGGAGAGAGAGTGCGTCCTGTAGGATGTGTTCAGACACATGGATCTGATGTGGTAAAGGTTCCAGATTTTAAATGCCCTTCTGATACAGCTCCAAATACTGTTGAGAAATGTAACCTGCAACACTGTCCCGCCAGGTATGAAACTGCACTGTACTGTTGATCATTAGGTGCCAAGAGTGCATGACACAAATAACATCCAATGACCACAGAATATGGAGGATTTCAGAGTTTTCTGTGTGTTTTCAGGTGGCGTGTGTCAGAGCCAGGGGAATGTTCAGCGGTGTGCGGGCCAGGAGAAGCCAAGCGCGTCGTGTCATGTGTGCAGCCCCAGGATGGCCAAGATGTTGAAGTGGATCAAAGCTTTTGCTCAAAGCAGATCAAACCGCCTGATTCTGTGCCCTGCGTGGTAGATGTTTGTCCCATTGGGTGGGAATCTAAGGGAGAGGTAAAGCAGAAAATTACAGAAATCCCACTCTTATTTCAAAATGCAAAGCATGTCTAAACATCACCCTTCTTGAGCAGGAACAGCCCGTGCCGAAGCCTGGTTTGTTGCCACGCTCTAGACAGGTTCCTGTGTATGTATGGAGTCCTGTTATCAGCCAGTGCTCCAAGACCTGTGGCAACGGTAAGTGAAATAATGCGCCCTGCTTCACACAGAAACAGCTTGTCCTCATTGGATAACGTCAACCAAAGCCTGATGCTTATGTAGGAACCCTGCAGGCGTGGTTTTCCTGTGTGGACCACCAGACCAGACTGGGTGTGCCTGACTTCCACTGTGATGCTTCTACTAAACCTCCTCTGCAGTCTGAGACATGCAACACATCTCCCTGCCCTCCCATGTGAGACACTATACCTGACATGCATTTAACATACAGTATTTATGTATAGTATGATGCACTAAACCTCATATCTGTCTTTGAGTCTGCTGTGTACCCAGAAATAAGGGTTTGGAAATGACAGCAGCACAATATTTTTTATAACAACCAGGTGGCACTCTAAGCAAGGAGTCTGCAGCGTAACGTGTGGAGGAGGGGTGGCCAACAGGGTGCTGTACTGTGCTAGAGAAACAGAGGGGGAGGAGGAGGTGGTGGAGGATTCAGAGTGCAGCGACTTTCTCAAACCCACAGCAGTGGTTTCATGTAACACCCACAGCTGCCCGGCAAGGTAAAACACACACACACACACACACACACACACACACACACACACACACACACACACACACACACACACAGAGTATGAAATAAATTTCTACAAAGGCAAAATGATTTAAAAACCACTGTCATTTGTCCAGTTGGAAGGTATTCAGGACATCGCCCTGCTCGGTGTCCTGTGATTTGGGTGTAGCTCAGAGGACTGTGTCTTGTGTCCAGTTCGTCCACGGCAAGGACAGTGTGGTGCCGGAGGAAAACTGCCGTGCAGCTGTCAGACCAGCCACCAAAGTGCCCTGCCTGGTGCAGATCTGCACATTGAGATGGGAGGTGGAACTATGGAGCCAGGTACATTTCACAGGAGACAAATGGGACTGAAATATAAGGATTAGATTTAGATTCAAGATGGAACCATTAGTTGATTCATTGTTGAGTCAATTGATAGAACATCCATTAATCATTTAATCATTTTAAAAGCAAAAATGTAAACCCTTATCTGCTTTCAGCTTCTAAAATGAAAGGATTTTATGCTTTTTTAAAATGAAAATCGTTGTGTTCTGAACTGTTGAACAAAACAAGATGTGAAGATGTCACCTCAACATCTGGGAAATTGGGCATTTTAAAAAGCAAACGATTGATTCATCAAGAAAATGATCATCAGATTAATCAACAATGAAAACAATTCTGAGTTGCAGCCTCAGATAAATGAAAATGGAACAATGTTTTCTTCTACCTCATAAAAAAATCCCAGAATCTCTGAATATGCAAATTTAGTTCATTTCTAAAGTTTTCCTGACGGGCACAAGATGACACCTACTTCAAGTCCATTCTCAATGTGCCAGAAAACTCATCTCACTTGTATAAATTGCATGCTGGACCAGGATTGACTTCCAAATTTTTTGTGATGTCACAAATCATGCTTGTAGGCTCCGCCCCTTAAAATCTGATTTTCCATGAGCACAGAGAAACTTTCTACTTTCAGCAAATTAATGTGAAAACATCCTTCGAGCGTCAAACTCTGCACAGACAGCATTCTGCACAGTGAAGATCTAACATCACACTGTAGGAACAAGAAGAAAAACAGATGTTTGAGTGGAGGGGGCTTTAAAGAACCATGCTAGTGGTTTTCATGTTTTTGAACATTTTCTTTAAATTACATCTGCTGTACTTACTCACAGACGTGTGGTGGGGGAGTCACTGACAGGTCATTTAGCAAACCTTTTTGTTTTTACTGTGTTTTTGAAATAGAAATTTACTTTTTCCACTATTCCAGGCGTCAAGTGGTTTCCATTTATTAGCAGAGTCTTGAAACTTGCACCAGGTGTGTAATCATCACAGTGAACAAGTCTGCACTTAAACTGCATTACCATGTCCAACGATAATGGAACACTGACAAAATGTAATGCAGACTTCATGTTCACTGTGATGGATCACACAACTCAAGCAAGTTTCAAGAGGCTGCCAAATTATTTTCACATTGTAGCTAATACTATACAAAACCTGTATATATGCTCCTTTTAGAACAACTCCTCTCCTTATGCTCAGACATACAACCCTATAATTATATATTATGTGTCCTGAACATATCTCCTGTTTATGCGGTTGCTTATTCTGATGTATATTTATGAAACACTGTGTGCTGAGCACCATGCTGCACTGACACAAATTCCACCAACCCTAGACGTGCGTGTCCACAAAGTTAAGGAAACTAAAGAGCCTCCGTTTACAATATAAATGACAGCAGGATATCTCCCCTGTGTTGTCTTGCTCTCCAGTGCTCAGTACCATGTGGATACGGGATCCAGTCCAGAACTGTGTCCTGCATGGGCCCCACCAATCCGGAGCCCCTCAGCCCTCTGCTCTGTATGCACATGCCCAAGCCCATCACCATTCAGGGCTGCAACATGGGCAGCTGCAAAGAGGAGGGACCTCTCCTGTCTGCCACCCAGAGCTACAGAGATACACCTCTGCTCCGCATGGGCCACCTTCCCCCTCCGAGTCCGACAGAGGCAGTCACCATCCCACAGACCACTACGACAGTCATTCCAACACCTAAACCCAGTTAGTACACATACACTCCAAATCCTTACCCATTCTCAGAAGGCAGATACAACATTATAATTACAGTGTCTGCTCTTTGCCAGGTGCATGTGGACGGCTACTCCTAGAAGAATCAGGCATGGTGGACCTGAAAAATGTAACCGGCCGCTGCACAGTATCCATAGGTCGACCCCTAGATGAGGTCATTTATATTAAAGTGGAATCCGGCTCCTTGAACTGCAGAAAAAGTATGTTTTATCAGATATAAAGGATGATATTTACTATGTCACAACTGTTGCAGTTAAATAACTGTCTGCTACTCTCTGCATGTGTCTCCACAGAGGAGTATGTTGCATTTTTTGACCGACTGGCCTTTGTGAGGAAGTGCGAGCAGGTAGCAGGGAGCGAACTGACCACCAGAACCAACGTCCTGCTGGTGCGCCAAAACCTGCTCACTGCTGGGAACGGGGTTGTGTTCACCTACAGTTCACAGAAGAATACAAAGAAGAGCCACCGTCAGGGTAAGTTTAGTGAAAGGGGAGGCTTCACTTGCTTTTTGAGCCCAATGATTTGAGCCTATTGCAGCATAAAGGTTGAAACCTAAATCCGGAGAGATGCACGCAATATTCTAAACACTCCCAGGCTAATGCAATCCAATACAAAAGACCTGCAATATATAGAGTGAAACTGAAAACATTGTGAAGCCTAATATGATCTTTCCTTGTTAGTATATGTCTGTTGTTATACTGTGCTTTTATTTGGTCTCCTTTGTTTCCCCAATGAGTTTGGAGGTGGCATTTTAGCATTTTAACCTACTAAACAATGACTAGCATCAGCTCCTTACACAGTCTCAATAAATATGAACCATTTTGAGCTTCACCAATGTAATGCTCATTGCCTGGCTATTGCACTAGATTGCATTTGACTGTACCAGTGTTCGTGATGTTTTATCTCATGCATTTACCAAAGATTAAACGCACTGTGTCTCTGCCTCACAGATTGTGACATTCAGCTGTTTTCCCCAAGCGGTGTCTTTGAGAATCCAACAACGTCCAACACTAACCACACCTGTCGAGTCCTCATCAATGCCCCTCCCTCTGTGAAGATCAGAATCCAGGCCCTGCACATAGGATTAGTATTCAACTCCACCAACTCCCAGTCTACATACATTATGGTGCGGACTCGCTGTTGTTTCAGTATGTTTCAAGCTTCATAGGAAGAAAGCGTAATAACTGCTGCTGTATTTTGTGTGTCTTGCTCAGATCCGGGACATGGACGTCTTAAAGACCAACGTGTTTAAAGGCCAGCAGCTGTTTCTGTGGCACTCCTCTGGAAATATGGCCGAGGTTGAATTTCATGGAGACTACCTGCATTCCAAAGGGAGCTTCAGAGCTGAATATTCCTTTGTGCGTCTTTGATACTAGATATTAACTATTATTGAGGAGGTTTGAAATGTATGTTTTAACATTTCTTCAGTTTACAGCAAGGGTTTTCAAACTCAGACTGTAGGCCTTGCCACTCAACAGTTGAGCCAAGATAGTCTAATATTGCTGTTTGACATAACTTTAGATTACACCAAACACATAAAAAACAGTCTGTCCAAAGGCATTTATTCATTTCTGAATCAGAGAAAGTCGGAAGATCAGTAAAATTCTACTGAAAACTATCTGTGAGCTATCTCTTTAACCAAATCGTACATATTTAGGCAACTCTATGTGATCTCCTTTTTTGTAATATGTTTTCACTTCTATTCACTGAGCCTCCTCTGAAGCTGTTCGGCAACCACTTTGATGGATGCTTCTAACAGTCATTAACTTCTACTCTGTTGAGTAGAAAGACCAAAGCAGACTTTAGCCACATTCTCTCTTTTTGTCTTCATGCCTGTGTGCTAATTACTTTGCCCTGAAATAAATAATAAACAAGCCAAAGCATTGAAAATCTTTAAGCGAAGCGAGGACAGTATCATTCTGAAGACTTTACCGGGAACTTGTAAAGTATAAGTAAAGAAAAGAAATATGTATAATATTAGAAATAAATGGATTATGTTCATTCAAATTATGTCCATTTAAAGTTTATATATATAACACAATATATTAAAATATAGAATTTCCATCATGGATGACTTTTTCTCATTACAAAGGCAGTGTGTCAAACATTCTTCCCACAACCCTTCAATAACAGCTTTCCCCTGATCTCCAGCACACGCAGTACATTGTTTGTCTATGTCAGTGTGGCACTCTGCCAGCACCGGTTCAGTTCCAGCTCTCCGATCTATCCCGGTGAGACACAAACACCATGCCGGGCTCCCGTGTGGGATCACTGCTTGGCTGTAGCTGTGTCTTCCAGGAGAGCTCTCATGTCCAACAGAGCATCCTTTACAGCCCGGGCAAACTTGGCAGCGTTCGTCTCCTCGCAGCTGTTGAAGGCCGTGATGGCAATGTTGATGTGCTCATCCATGGGATTGTAACACACTCCGTAGCCATCTGGCACCATCGGACCAAAGCACATCACACAGTCTGTCTTGGAACCAACCTGAGAGATGAGGGCAAACAAACAAACATGACAACAAATAATCATTTGTTAAGTGATAAAGGACTTTTTTTTAGATACAAATATACCTGGCTGGTGGAGAGATTATAATGATGAGCCACAGCGAAAGAGGTATCCATGAATATCTCAGGCATGGAGGTCAGGTCTTCAATACTCAGCATCTTCAGCCCGAGGAAGTGTCTGTCTATGGCTTGTCCATGGATTGCCTAAAAGAGAAAAGTGTGTAGAACTGAGATCAATCAGATAGTGTCAGTAAAAAGTACGACTTCTTGTATGGATGAAGACCAGCCACACTCACATTGTACGTTTTTTCCTTATGCGTCTGAACGGCTTTCTGCAGCAGTGCCAGCCTCTCTGTGTTCTGTAAACAGTATGTACTGCTCGGTCAGACAGCTTAAACTCTACATTTATTTTGAAACTCTGGTGGTGTAACAGTACCTGTTTAGCTGGGTCTTGCATCGCCTTGACGAATGTAAGTGAGTCTAGAGTAGTTGAACGGACTGCATCTGTCCGCCCGTATTTGAACATTCGTAACGATGCACTCTCATAAGTAGCACAGCAAATATTATACATCCTGGAATTAAAAAAAACAGCACAGAGGAGGTTCTATGAATTAAAACATTAATATAGCTATGTAAAGATATAGTGGAGTCATGGTGTCCAGAGCAGAGAATGACTCATCTATGTCTGTAAATTAAGAATATACTTCCACCAAACCACAGCTGGTATTGTTGGAACAGTGGAAAGACTACAAAGACTGTTTTGGTGAGTTTTATTTATTTTATTTTGTTTGAATTAAGTTACTATTCTACAATGATATGTGAGGTAAAATTAACATTTTGTCATTTTTGTCGGGTTAAACAAAAGGTCTATCTCTGTGTGGCCAAAACAAGCTTTTTTAGTGGACATATTTTGACAGGAAGAATTAAGAATTAATGTTAGCATTGTTTTGGTCTGAGATGCATGTTCTTACCTGAAGTAGGCAAGTTGCAAAGCCATTTGCACAAAGGCGTCTGGACTCAGCTTATGTTGCTTCGGTACGTTTTTTCCAAAATGAGAGAACATAAGCACCTTCACATCTAAGTCGTGCACCATTCTGATGAAACACAGCAAAGAGTGAGTTAAACTGACAACTGATGACTCTGACATCAAAACTGAGACAACAAGAATAACAATAATGACAGCACTACACGTTACATACATGTTCATATTCTGCTTGGCATTCTCTATGTCTCTCTTGACCTCAGGTAAAATGTTAAAACGCAGTTTCTGAGGCATAGCCAGGGGAACCATGGGAGAACGGACCATTTCAGTTCTCCGTCTGTCGAGAAAATACAAAACACTTCATCAATTTGAGTTCATTTGAAAATGGGGAAAGCACTCATCTAATAATGGAAAGACACGTACATGTATTTAACGACGTAATCGATGAGAAATACAATGGGCGGACCCTCTGCGGGTGCATGTTCGTACACCAGTCCACACGTACCGTCTTCTCCAACAATGAACTGAGGACGATTTAAAAGTACATTCAAGTTATCAACCGTTACAACAGAACTGTTTTTTGAATGTAAAGTCGTATGTGTCAAGCTGACCTGTAATGTCTTATCAAACCAGCGGTTGCCGCTGTTCCAGCGAGCTCCTCCTCCGTGCAGCATCTGGGCAGCCACACGGCTCGGATACATCTCATCTGACACTCGTGGCATCGGGGCGTCCAAACAAACTGTAAAGATGCTTTTCTGGATGGCACGGACTGACTCCTTATTTGTCTTATCTGAGGAAGAATAACACCAAAAAAATCTGTAACACATTTTTTCTCAAATACTCTTCTAGATTCTTCTGTTAGATTAGATTAAATCTAGTTGATACAGAGCGTTTCTGCACAGGATCTTTTATTTATATATATATATATATATAAATATATATAATATATATATAATATATATATCACACTCACACTCTCTCTGCAGTGTTATTATCGGAGCTTGTCTGTGGTTTGTTTACACAGCTGGTCTGCTCTGTGTGCAGCTGAGTAGAGCAACTAAATTAATAAATTATTTATTTTGACGAAGAAGCCTTACAATATGTCCATAACAATTATTGTCTTTCTGTCCACTTTGAACGAAGATACGATGTTATAATATGTAAAATGACTCTTTTTGTCTATGGAGTCTGGTGGTGAGCCATATTATGGCTGTTTCTGGTTAAACAAAAGGCCTATCTCTGTAGGGATCCTTCCCATAATGTTGTCAGACACTAGTGAGTCTGTCAGTGGCAAAAACAAGCACTTTTAGTAGACGCACTTTGACAGGCTCATTTGTCCCCAAGGATTAACGTTAGCTTACATTGCATTGCACTGAGGCAATTGCAGGCCTTTTCATGAATATTTTCACATCTAACTCAGTGAATTAAGAGTTTCTTTTAACCAATCCATCATTAGTAATCGTTGGAAAGACTTAAAAAGAGTCTCTGCTCACCCTTAATCAGGTTGTTATAGGCTTTCCCCCATGTGTTGCGGTGCTGCGATGTAAGGATGCCAATAGGCTCCTTGTTAGTCTGCAAAGAGGAGTTCCAGATCTTCTCCAACTGCATGTACAGCTGGTCTACTGTCAGCGGGGTGCCATCGCTGTTGTACACATCCAAGACAAAAAACTGGGGGGAGAAGCCAAAACAAGATGATTTAGCCACAGATCCACTTTCTTAAGCCACTGCACCAATGATAATTACAGAAAGGAGAAGAACTGCAGTGCCATCTACAGTAGAGTACCTGGAAGTTGTGGACCACAGTGATATGAGTGGGAGCTGTTATCCCGATGGCGTGATTTACAACAGTATCTCTCTTTGGCCCAGGGATGCGACAGGAGGACAGGATCTGGTAATACTGGTCCATACATAGCGGCTTCCCACTCAGGTACTCTATAGGCAGGGTGTCACTGTGACACAGCATCTCACATTATCCATTTGCAGTTTTACAGTTTTGTAAAGCAAATGCAAGTCATGATGATAATGAACTTTCTGTCATGATATCTGTATAAGTTTCAGACAAACTCACGTGTCAATCAATTTTTTAAAGTCCAAAACTCCTGCGATCAATTTGGCAGCAAACCTGTGCAGAAGACAGCATTGTGTTATTAAGAGACATATGACGAGTCTATGGTTTGTTTGGTGTTAATGTTCTGAAGCAATTATGAAAATGAATGGCAGAGGTCAAACGGTTGATAAAGAGGAGAGCAGTTTACAGGCCTTCATTTGTTATCTGGCTGAGAAATAACAAAGATTATATAAAATGATGATATAAAAACGTATAGAAACTGCTGTTGCATTATTCTTTAAAGGACCCGTGTGTAGGATTTAGTGCCATCTAGCGGTGACGTTGCAGATTGCAACTACTGCTTGTGTGTAATTGATGACCTGGGAATGAGAATGTGCTGTAAAGTGTGTAGGATGGTGAAACTTTCACAAAGCGCGAAAGACCCTATTTACAGCCAGTATTTGGTTTGTCCGCTCTGGGCTACTGTAGAAGCAAGGCGGGTCAACATAGCGAACACCATGGAAAGGAAACCTGCGGTGTCTGTAGATATAAAAGGCTCAATTTAAGGTAACGAAAACACAATGATTATTATTTTCAGGTAATTAAACACTAATGAAAACGTACCTTTGAATATTATACTCCATTTTTGCCATTAGATCCTCCCAAATGTTACACACTGGACCTTTAAATATGATGTTAGTAATGGAAATATTTTATTTAAGAGTATTCCTTATGAACGTTCAAGTGGCCCTTATAAGAGATGACAATGCCAGCAGCAAACAGCCAATTTCAGTTTGAGTACCCTGCTCTAAAGCCACTGTGCATATGATGGGGAAACACAAAATTCAGTTATCAGTAATCAACTCTGAATTGAGACACATACAAGCAAATGTCATTCCATATTATCTATTACTGCTACTAACTGACTGGTTGTGAGCCCACACCTTAAAATCCAGCTGGCTTCACTAGAGTATTTCTCTATTGGGCCACCGTGTTCACTGCATATCCCATGGGTCATAGCAGTCAGAAACAGCTGAGCAATGCTATGAGCAGCCAGAGGGCTTTAAATAGCCGGCATGTGGAGGGAAGCCTGCACAAAGGTCGGCTCAGCCTCATATGAGCTTGTTTACACTGCACTTCAACACAGTGTAAATCATGAAACTCAATCAACTTTATAAGAGAGCTTGTGGTCAGACAATTAAGGTTTATAACTGAAATATATTCACAGCAAACATTAGCAGTACTGCTTCTACTTTTCTGTGATCGTACAGATTTGTTTGCTAAGATAAAACAGTCACTGTGGCTGCTTTTACAGTGGAGGCTGGTTTCTCACCTTATCTGTCCTTGTCGATCCTGGAAGTGCA